TTTCTTTCCTTCTTCTTTTCAATCTTTTTTAAGATGTTTTTCCGCAACTTGCTATTGCAGTATAATTTGCCACTTAGTATCCATTGAACTCTTTTTTTTAACTCCTTTTACTTACAAACTGAGATCTTTTTATCTGACCTCATTTTGGGCGGCTCTTTTTATCTCAATGTTAATCTTTTTTTTTGGTAAATGAAAAGATTTATTCATCACCAAATATGTGATAATGTATATACATCAAGAATCTCATCATATGTATGAGATATCAAAAAAATTGTAACTAAAGCTCAAAAGAAAAACCCATGTAAACTGAGCTTTACAAGAAAAATACCAACTAACTGTAGGCATATAAAATTGCTTATAGGTCCCTTAGCTCAGCTCGGCACAAACCGACAAACCAACGAGACGACGAGATTGACTAATTGCACGCAAGCAACGGAATACGTCCATTCACGTGCGGGATCAAAGAGTCAACGAGTCATCCAACCAAAGGCATACTCGGACGAATGACGATCGAATCAAGATCGGTTTCCGAGTATAAACTGCTTCTTACTCCAATAAGGTATATGAGTATAAACTGTTCCCTAATTTTGGTTGAAAAGTTTCTGGAGAGTATTTTTTCTGAAAAATATTCTTAAGGATAACTCAACAACACAACGCCGGACAATGCGTTGCACATAAAAACTCGACGCCAGCAATCGATGGTCAATTCTACGAGCTGAAGATCAAAAATCAGGAATCGACTTCAAGGTTCAAAATTTCCGACAAACGGTCAGACAATAAATGCAGCACCGGAACTCTTACAGACATTCGACAAAGCACCGAATAGCCTGAAGGATTGAAGGAATCAAGAACACAAGTCATTCCAAGGTCCCATTACACCGACTGAAGGTTGGGACATGCATATCCAAAGTATTCCAGACTCTTCTATAAAAGAACGAGACTGAAATACTTTGGAGGGGGTATCTGTAGGCATATAAAATTGCTTATAGGTCCCTTAGCTCAGCTCGGCACAAACCGACAAACCAACGAGGCGACGAGATTGACTAATTGCACGCAAGCAACGGAATACGTCCATTCACGTGCGGGATCAAAGAGTCAACGAGTCATCCAACCAAAGGACTACTCGGACGAATGACGATCGAATCAAGATCGGTTTCGGACTCCAACTCAGAAGCGGATTTACTGCCTAATCGGGATCTGGATTTACTGCCAAATCAGATCAACCAAATCAGAGTCTAAATCAATCAAATCACGGACAGAACCGGATGACGGACGACGCGGCGAACACCCGAAAAGAGGCTCGGAAACCAAGTCACCGAGGCGGCTCACCGAGCCACCAAGGTGGCTCGGTGGCCCGAGGGCCAGCTCAAGTGGTGCTCGCCGAGCCACATAAGTGGCTCGGTGGCGCGAGGCCAAATGGGGTGGGTCGGTCCTACGACTGCCTCGAGCCACCAAATGGTGCTGCGGGAGGCCGATGCCACCAGAATGGTGGGCTGCGGAGGCCGAGCAGCCTGCTAGGTTGCTCGTCACCTCGCCGAGCGCGACGCATTTGGTGCTCGGAGGCGCGAGCGGCACCTCCCTTTTGGGTGGCTGCGGCGCGCCACCCAAGGTGGCTCGGACCACAGCACCGAGGCCACCGAAGAGGTGGCTCGGTGGCCGAAGCCACCAAGGTGGGCCGCCGGCCACCTCTTTGGTGGCTCGGTGGCGAGCCTACCAAGGTGGCTCGGCATCAGTGCGCGGCCACGTCGAGGCCGAGGTGGCGAGTGCGAGTGACAGGTGTCGCAGCATTTGTTTTCTTATCGCGGCACTGGTTTATAGAGAGGCCTATAAATAAGCCACCCCCTTGTTCATTTGAGAGGGTTGGAAACTTTGGAGAGAGGCGAAGCCCTGCTGGATTGGAGACTCGAAACTTAAAAAAGATTGAAGCTTTGGGACTTCGGGGATTCACTCCTTCAGATCTGGTGCTCAGCGATCGTCAACGCCAAAAAAGGCAGGTGTTCGAGAGGACCGGATCTCAGATCTACGTTGCTACACTCCGGATCTAAGCTTGGTCTTAGATCCCGAGACTTGGACGATTGTTTCCTTAGTGAATCAATCCTCCCCGGCTATTATTCCCTTGGTGGAATAATACCCGTCATACTGCTCAGATCCGACCGGATCTAGATCTCGCGGTGGTCCACGGCAAACAACCCCGGCGCAGGCAAAGAACCCACAAAGCGAGCGACCGCAAAACAGGAGCTCGCGATTCGTTCGACAAATAAGGAAACAAAGTTGTAATTTTTCATTTCTTTTTATTTGATTTTCATTGTAACCGGATCTTATAAAAAGACCGGATCTTTGTAATCGATAAACTATTACAAGAGTGTACAATGGAATCATTAATGAAGAAAGCAACGAATTTCCCCGCGAACACTAACATCAAGATATAATGCATTTTTGGCTAAGGCTAACATGCACACACCCTGATCAATCATATATACCATGCCTTTAACTTGCTGAGGAGCTAAGACCTCATGATCCACTAGTTGAGTTTGCACACCATGCACAGCAGGTCCACCGACCCCTCTAAATTTTCTACCTCTCAACCATCAGCATTTATTTGGCATGCATCCGATCAACAATATATAGCTGCCCTTCAACTACAAGCTTCTCAAAGTGGGAAAAGAGAACCAACTCTGAAAGCAATCGAGACCTGTAAACTATACAAGTTTTACAAGGAGAGGAGCCATGCTTTATTCTCCTCCAAAAGGGGAATGTTTAGGTTGTTTATCAATATATCCATCTTGCTATCTTTAGTCAATTGTTCAACATCTTTGGATTTAGACTGGAAGATTCTTGCATTCCTTTCGCACCAAATTCTGTAGATAGGCCATTTTTTTATACCCTGCTTAAAACCTCCTCCCCTCAGCCTGGTGCAGTACTAGTTCATAAGAAGATCCCAATTACAAGATCTCCAGCTGAAATAAAGTCAATCCATTAAATTGTTCCATACTTCTCTAAAGTAGCCATATTCAAAAAAAAGATGATCACGGCTCTCTAAGCTTCCTGCAGGACATAGGCAACATACATTTTCACTTATAATTCCTCTTCTCATCAATCTATCCTGGGTTAGTAATTTGTTTTGAGCAGTTAGCCAGCATATAAAAGCGTGCTTTGGATAGCATCTCTTATCTCACACAGTGCCATACCATGGCACCATATATACAGCAGGGGAAATGGCTTGGTATACTACAGAAATCTGTAAATTAGAATTGATATTGCAGGAGTTAAGAAGTTGCAAAAGACTCTGTATTCCTCCACAGGATTGAACTACTTTATCTCTAGCTTTCATCAGCTGTTTTCACATCCAGGAATCTCCTACTTTTGCAACCACATTCCAGATGTCTACACGTCTCAAGTAGGTTCCATGTACCCACCTGATCCAGAGAGACTCTTTATTGACATGGATATGTCATAGTATCTTAAGAGCAGCTGCCAGGTTCCAGATAGAGACTGAGAACACTCCTAACCCACCTTGCTTCTTCCCCTGACATACTCTTGCCCAGGAAACTAAAGGAGTTTTGGAAACAGAATTATGGTTAGATTTGCCCCCACAAGAATTGTCTTCATAATTCTTCAATCTTGCGAGATACCTTGACTGTTAGTATATAATTTGAAGTCCAATATACTTGTATACCCAAGATGACACTCTTTATGACTTGTAGTCTACCCGCATAAGAGAGATTTTTATTTTTGTTCCATGTCTAGAATTGATCTGATACTTTGTTGATGAGAGGGGAACAATCGTCATAAGTAAGCCTCTTGCAAATTAGTGGGACTCCCAGATATCTAATAGGTAGTGTACCCTCTGAGAAATTCAAGAGATGCTTAATATTGTTCTTAACTGTGTCATCAACCCCACCAAAATAGATTGAGCATTTATCCTGATTTGCTTCTAACCCAGAAATCTTGCTAAACTGTTGAAAAATATGATATAGCTTCTGCACTGTATTTAGATTCCCATAGCTAAATAAAAGTAAATCATCAGTGAAAATCAAATGTGTGATTTTGAGCTTGCCACATTTGGGATAAAATTTGAAGTCTCTATCATTTTTCAGCATATCTAAATTCCTGGATAAGTATTCCATACCCAAAATAAAAAGGTAGGGAGATAAAATGTCCCCTTGCCTCAAGCCTCTCTCTCCCTTGAAATACCCATGATGGGATCCATTAAGGGAAATGGAGAATTTAGGACTAGATATGTATTCCATAATCCAAGTAATCATCAACTCAGGAAAACCCAGCCCCTTAAGCATATCATGAATAAACTTCCAACTTATAGTATCAAAGGTCTTTTTGATATCTATATTAAGCATGATTCTGGGGGAAATATGCTTTCTATTATATCCTTTTACTAGCTCTTGTGCCAACAAGATGTTACTTGTTATATGTCTGCCTTTAATAAAAGCACTTTGTGCTTCATTAACCAAAGACCCCATGACAGTTTTAATCCTGTTGGCTAAAATTTTTGAAATGACATTGTATAGACAATTGCAACATGATATAGGCCTAAAATCTAAGGGAGTTTTGGGACACTTCACCTTAGGAACAAGAGTTAAGGAGGTTGAATTTACCACTCCCAATAATTTGCCTGTCTTGAAAAATATTGAATGGCAAGGGTGACTTCATCACCTATTACTGACCAAGTAGATTTGAAGAATAAGGCTCCAAAACCTTCTCGATGTGGGGACCTATTACCATCCATAGAGAACAGAGCATCTTTGATTTCATCCTTGGAGATAGTTTTTGATAGTAAACTGGCTTGTGCAGCAGATAGACAGGGACCTGAACAAATGACCCTTGTATCTGGGGTTATAGTATCTATTGCAACTCCCATGAGATTTTTGTAGGACACAAATTCCCTTGCAATTTCATCCCCCTCAGTTATTCTTTGTTCCTGACTATTATAAAGAGCCATTATTTTGTTGTAATGCATGTAGTTTTTGACTATTGAATGAAAGAATTTAGTACATCTGTCTCCTTTGATACTCCAGGCATTTTTTGCTTTTTGCTGATAAAAGGACATTTCACAATCAAGGAGTTTGTTGTATAACAGCATACATTCCCTTTCCCTATTGATAAGAGAGGGGTTTAAAGGGTTAACTTGGAGGTTATTTTGCACCTCTTCCAGAGAATGTTTTGCTCTTAGAACTTGCTCACTAATATTACTGAAATGCCTCTTGTTGAGCTCCTTTAGGGCACTTCTCAGTAGTTTCATCTTTGTACATACTGAATACATTTTGAAGCCTGCTACTTCAGTTTGCCAGATTTTAGAAACAGTAGGTAAGAAAGTGTCATGCTTTGTCCATATATTAAAGAACTTAAAAGGTCTTTTGCCTTGGACATTATCTTCAAAGATTGAGATCAGAGCAGGAGAGTGGTCTGAGAAACCAGGAAGTAAGTATTCAACCTGACTTGAACAAAACATGTGTAACCAAGAGTCATTCACCAAAGTTTTGTCCAATCTACTCCAAATTCTAGAGCTAGCATCTTGTTTATTGTTCCATGTGTAAAAACACCCCATAGTTTTTAGATGATTGAGCTGACAATCATAGATAAAATCACTAAAGTCTCTAAAATCTGCCTCCAAAAGCAAATCATCCCCAATTTTCTCTTCATTATTTATAGCTGAGTTGAAATCCCCACTTAGGAGCCATGGAGAATTACCAACAGATTGAAAAACATCATTTAGTTCTGACCATAATCTCCTTCTGGCATTTATTTGATTAAAACCATACACTGCTGTGATGAAACTCTCCAATCTTCCATCCATAGACTTGACCTTACAAGTGATATGTTGAGCTGAGAGGATTTCCACTTTAATATCCAGAATATTAGGATCCCACATAATGATAATTCTGACTTTCCCAACAAGATTAATATTTGATATCCAGCTCCAGTTTCTTGCTATTTTCCTGGCAACAATAGGCAATTTTCTATCATTTATTTTTGTTTCTAGAATAGCTTGAATAGAGATATGGTATTGAGATAAATGATTTTTCACTAAATGTTGTTTAGAGGATTTATTTAATCCTCTAACATTCAGAAAGGAGAGATTCATCTTAGCTGCCCTCTCTATCAGTAGAGGGATTATTAGCCAAATCATCCAGTTGAGAGAATGAATTTCCAATTACAACAGGTTTCTTTTGAGCCCTCCTTTGTATTTCCATCCAAGGACACTCAGCTTGATGTAGAGATATTCCACCACTTCCATGCTGCAAAACATGCACAGCATGCACAGGCCCTGATCCCTGGTAAGTTGAACTATCACCTTGATGTAGAGATATTCCACCCCTTCCATGCTGCAGAACATGCACAGCGTGCAGAGGCCCTGATCCCTGGTAGGTTTGCATGGCTATTTGGTGACCACTTACCTTGAGATTCGCATCCGTTGGTTTTGTTTTTAATTGCTGATAATGTTCAGATTGCACAGATCTTGAGCAAGAACTGCTTCCAGATTCTAGTTCCTGCAGGTTTATTTTGCCCCCATATTTTGTCATCTCAATGTTAATCATGTTAAAAGAACTTTTGCTTAATAATTATGTGTGACTAGAAAAAAAAAATTTGTTGGTTTCAGGCTTTTGGGTTTTGACATGTTTATGATTATTTACTTTTTACTGCTGAGTTGAAATTTGTTTGTTCCTAGATTATGAAAAAGGGTTTGTGGTTATATACATGAGTTTTCTAAGATTAGAATATATTGCCATTGCTTTCTGGTTTAGAGAAGTATGTAATTGTCGATTTGTTCTATGGCAGCGTATGGGTTGATTATATGAGTGATTTTTGGACGTTTTTGGTTACTAGCACATATGCTCTTCAACTTTCAACTTGTTTAGAATCCTCCTACTCTCTCCTAACTCTAACCCTTCTATTCTCTCCTAACACAAACTAATGATGATATGGGTTGATTGTGAAAGATTAGTTGTAATTTTACTTCAAGTCAGATAGTAGTTGGGTGCAAGGTTAGCAGACACATGAGATAGTTAACATGTAAGGTATATACTTAATAACTATATGGGTTGATTGTGAACTATAAATACTAGTTGTGAATGTACTTTTAAGTTCGGATAGTAGTTGGATGCAAGGTTAGCAGTCATATGAGATAGCTAACATATAATGTATATACTTAACAGGAAGAGACCAAGCTTAGATCGTTAACATGTGTTGTATATAGTTGACAGGAACAGACACATGCATTATGGCTAAAAAAAGTTCAGGAGTTGGGCTAACATCATCAATCATCATCTTCCAAAGTTGGAAAAAAAATAGATCATCATTAAACTAGGCTTATTCCAAACACCCTGATTACAATCTATCTTTCCCATCAAGAGAAGATTCGCATCAACCAAATAAATAACGAAGACACATTTCCACAAGCGTTCTTAGTTCTCACTTTCTTAAACTTTCAACTTGTTTGAAGTTTGATTAAACCCTAAAGTTAAAAAATGACAAGATAAAGGAAAAAGACTTGGTATGGTAAACATGTACCTATTATAGTTAACATAAAGGAAATCTGTGCTTTCTCTACATGCAATATACGCAGTGGAAGACTATATGTACAAAAATACAAAGCATATAGAGAGCATGAAATCCATATCAGGATCATCCTAATTAAATCTAACAAGATCCTTATATAAAGAGAGCATACAAGAGTTTCAAAGTCATACTTTTGAAGCGTGATTCGATGGTAGATTGAACAACCCTTAGCTCATGCTTCTTATTGTAGTAAACCTCCTTGTAGTGAATCTTCAAAGCTTCAAGTGAACGTGAAAAATTAGAGACTTCTTGAGACACAAGGCAAGATATCCACCACGGGGTTCTTAAAATCCTACTACTTTCTCTTACCCAAAGATTGCTAGAGTTTAGTAAGAGGTAGTAGAGCTCTTTTTTATTCTCTTATGGAAAACTAATTTTTTATTCGTTCATTCATTAACCTTTCAATAAGAGAGAGAGCTCATATTTATAAAGTAAGATATGTCATGACTCATCTCATGAGTCATAGCATGAGTCATCAAAAGTAATGATTCAATTCATGAGTAATGCAATGACTCATCTCATGAGTCATGCAATGAGTCATGAAAAATCAAAACCATGTGCTTAAAATCATGTTCCTAAACCATATCACTTAATGACTCATCTCATGACTAATTAAACATGGTATAATAAAATATATATTTCATAAAGAAAAATACCACATCATTATTACTAATACGGTATTTTATAAATACGGTATTTGGTATTTTTCAATCATTAACTAATAAGACATCATATGACCAAAAAGTCAACCAGTTATCTAAAAGTCAACTGTTGACCAAAAAGTCAACCAGTTGATTAAAAGTTAACTTTATGGAAAAAATATTGAAAATTATTTCTTAAACACATAGCATTCTGATTTTACCAATACATATAATCGTTTATGTGTATCCGGTAAAATCATATATGTGTATCAATCATACGCATTACTTTATAAATTTGTATTTTATAGGATTCAAGTACGCTCTTGGTGTGACTTTAGGGTCCAACTTAAAACTCGATAGTGGATCATATCCATAAGTACAACAAATGTGCTAGCTACACATGAAGACTACCCGGGTATAAGTTGTGATAAAGGTTTGCAAGATGCTTATCCAATTTTATCAGGACCACTCAGTGATAATATCGTACAGTCCAGTCTCTTCGTCAAACCATGTCAAACTATCGAGCCTAGAGTATGGTAAACTGTCAAACCCTAATAGCTTGATTAGTGTTTGTTGATATTAAACTCAAAACCTATAAGATCAAACTTACACTCCATTTATCTTATTCACCTCGGCCAAGTATTTTCAGGTTATAGCTATATCAAACAATCTTATGACACCAACCACCTATACTGGGAGAGACAAATATCATCTTGACATTTCAATATCTACTTATATCTCGGGATGTACCCAACAAGAACCGTTATGCACAACTCAATGAGAACTATGGTTAGGTAAAAGTCTAAGTACACTTATACTGACATGTAAGATATTGCACTCATACCTCAGGTCAAGAGACTGCTTTGTACTATATCACTTGAGAACTTCTATTTGACAGTTAAGTATAATTACCAACTAAATATTCTCGGTGAGTCGTTCAGTCAACTCATTCACTAATGAGTCCCATGTATATTGTATCTTGATGTCTCCACATCAATGATCTAAGAGATGGATCATCGCCCTTCAAAAGGACAAATAGAGTACACAATAGTCTTGCCAAAGTGATGATGTCATATCTCAACACTTCATTAATTAGGAATATTTTAGAATATACATTAGCGACTAATCAGATCTCTTCTTCATTACGATCAATATCGAAATTCTGATAGTCTAGTATTATTCTAAGGACTTTATCTTTATTAGAAAAAATATCAGATAAATACTGACCAAAATAGCATACTATTATTTTGAACAATGATGTTATATCTGAAGGAAATCTCTGCTAAATACATGCAATATACATAGCAGAAGACTGTATGTATGAAAATACAAAGCATGTAGAGAGTATGAAATCCACACCAAGACCATCCTAATTAAAACTAACATGATCCCTATGTTAAAGAGAGCATCCAAGAGTTAGAAAGTCATACTTTCGAAATGTGATTTCATTTTTCTTTTTTTTCTTTTTTTCTTTTTTTTTTTTGGAACATAAATTTTGAAAGATTTGACATTTATCTATTTTGAAATTTTACAAACTCAACAATCTATGCATCGCATGAGTCTGAAACTAGTAGGTTTTTATGGTCAATCCTCCCTCTCACTTGAATGATAAGCTTTCACGAACTGAACTCGAGCAAGGCTCTGATACTAATTGTTAACAGTGAAAAGAAAAACGTGATAGCTAATCGATAAAACAAAGAGCAAAAATAGAAAAAATAATCGCATTATCACAAGAATTTAACAAGGTTCGAAAATCAATGTAATTACCTGCTCAAAAGCATGTAAGGTCTCGCTTTGACTAATAATCAATAAAGGTTTTCAATAAATCTCTTAACCTCTTCTCACTTTCCTTTGTTGTCTCTATTTTTATCTCTTTTTAATAAAACAATATGTGGTCGAATATATGTATACTTGATAGGATCTCTATCAGTAGGCCAAAGATTACAAAATAACCAAAATATTACAAATAATAAATTAATATTTTTGTCTCAGCAATAGATGTGTTGCCACCAAAACATGTCTATTCTTGTGCCAGCTCTATAGCACTGTTGCAGATATGGGGCCCTTCGTGCCCCTGGTAGGCGTGTAATTCTTGATCCCGGTTACATGAGTATTCACATGTAAATTAGGCTTCACAAACAACAAAATTGAAAATTGAGAGCAATAGAAAAAAAATCCTAGAGGTAGTGGTGCTGATCGAGCAAATCCATGGCAATGGAGGCGTGAGAGAGTGGCTTCTGGTTTTTCTTCATCAAGAGTTCAAGATCCAGTGCAGATGCAGGATAAGGGGAAAAGGATTTTGTCGGTGGTAGAAGAAGAAAAAGTTCAAGAAAATTGCTCTCAATTTCAAGATCTAGGACCAAGAGATTATGGAGATCTCGAGGCAGAGCTGAAAGTTTCTGGTGAGCGTCCTCGTTTCTCTACTGTCATTCTTCAGTTTGAAGGTGAGATAAACTCTGATTTCCAAAAATTCAGAAATTTTGCGGTTGTTTCGTTTGTTGAGGGGGGAAATATTTATGTAGAAAGGTTGGAACTGGATTTGAGAGCTCTTTTCCCTTTAAATAAATACTGGGATGTTAGACTTTTTACTAATGGTGAAATGTTGGTTAGAATTCAACCATGGAAACAAATGGAGGATTTGATTAAAATGGGGGTTATCACTCTTCGTTCTTGTAAAATTAAGCTTCGGAGATGGAATGCATGGGAAGGTAATGTTTCTGAAAAAAGAAATGCTCAGGTATGGATCAAATTGAAAGGGGTTCCACCTCATTTATGGAGTAAAGAGGCTTTTGGGTTGATGGTTAAACCTTTTGCTGATCTGATTGATTTGGATCCTTTGACAAGCGCTGGTACTGCTTTAATTGATGTTGTTTTGCTTATCAGA